TGTTCTGTCACTTTAAACTGCCTAGACTCATAGACATTTCTCCACGTTTCTGTGATTCAGTTTCCTCTGGTGAGTGCTTGGTAGTGACCAGCTGCAGCTCTGATGTTCACAGGGGAAAGGATGGTGAGAGGAGGAGGAAATAAAGGAGAGACTAAGCGGGGGCCAGGGGGAGCCCTGAGGCTCCTGATGGGAGGAAGGAACTGCTCAACCAGGCAGCACGTTTATTTACATCCTCCAAAGTAAAAGGCCAATTTCAACCCCGCTGCCCAGCAACTTGTTTGCCTGGCTGACCTGGCCCCTTGCTTCTTGGTGCTGGAACAGCGTGTTTGTGTGGCTTGTTTGGAGTTCTCTGTGTTTTCAGAGCTGGTCTTGCTTTTAGTCCCACACATGAGATCAATCTCCAGCTTCAACAGCTCCCTACAGCGCTTTGCACATATTTGTCATGGTTCTCAAAATCATACATGGCATGCATGAACGTTAAAGATTGTCACTGAAAATTGAACTCAAAGTCTGCCATTCCACCATACAGATTACATATACAGTAATGGTCCTTCAAATTACAATGGAGCTAAAAGTTTTCAGATATGTGGTGATACTGTAGATATTGAAAAATCACAGTATAAAGTATGACTCATGGCAAAGTGTAACCTAATACATATGTGGCACAGTGAAGTTAACAAATACATTGCACAGCTGATTTTATAGGGAGGCACCAATATGCCCAGCTAACAATATGCATTCACATATCTCCTGTTTACCAAATTTCTTGAGTGCACCAAGTAGTCACAACAAAAGATCAACCCATATTTTTAACATTTGTGTAAGTAAACTCCGTCATGTTTGTACAACTATAATTACCTGACGCACTTCTGAGAAATAATTACCTGGTATTAAATAATGAATGAGTGCGTGTTTCCAAACCATCATTTGTCCCTAAGGAACATGGGAAACAACTAGCTATGTAATTGCAAGGAAAATAAATAAAAGCTCAGTATTTGCTAAACAAGAGTCAAGGAAAATTAATACAATCTTAAAAATAAAAATGTAGAGATTTTTCTAATCAAGATCTTATAATAGTGACATTAAGCATTTCATGAAAAAGACAAACTTTCCAGAAAAACAGTGGAATATTAGAAAAAATATTTATTTAAAGAGAATAAAATATGTTAGTAAATATAATAATATTTATTATAATTAAACTATTTTATAACAGTATGAACTGGATTTTATTTAACATTTGTGTGTCCATGACTATTTCACTGTGGAGTTTGAGGATTCCAGGTGTCTTAAATCGTTCCCATTTTTAATAGGTTATGGGAAAAAAGAGGAGTAAAATATGTGAAATGGATTTTCCAAAACTTTTTTTATTAAAAGTCCTTAATATCTAAATCACTTGTCACATTTTTCAATAAAAGCAATAGTTCATGACTTCCACATTCAAAAATAGCAGGGAATTGCAATAAAGGCTCACTTTGCCTTAGGTAGCCTATTAAAATGCAGACTGTATGAGATTTAGAAATATTTATCTCTATTCAAATAAAAAAAAAGATAGAGCAGTGATTGCTTGGGGACACATAACCCAGAACTGACTTAACAAACACTGCTAATGCTTTGGCTTGGAGACAAAATTTCACAGATAGCTGGGATGTGCAAAATCCACAGAACTGTACAGAATCTGCCAATGCTTTTGTGCGATCAAAAAGTAACCTCTCACCAATTTTGAAAGCAATAATTGTCTTTCAGTTTTGAAGTTCTTATATTTTTTCAGTGTGTGCTGACAGTAGATATTCTAATGCCATCAGGATTGTTTAGGGTTTAGGGTTGAATTACAGATTCAAACCAGACAGCATACATATTTGAATAAAAAGGGAAATATAGACAGTCATTTAAAAGTATGATATAGCAATTGTTAACAGGACACCGTTTGAGTTGAGAGAGAGAGAGAGAGAGACAGAGAGAGATAGAGGGAGAGAGAGAGGGAGAGGGAGAGGGAGACAGAGAGGGAGAGGGAGCTTATAAAGTGATGGAACGTGCATTCTGCATTCTTCAGTGGCACTGATTTCCCCCTTTCTCTCCTTCCTTCTTCATTCCTGCTGTCATGGTTTGTGTCTAAAGTGGCCCAAAGCTTCCTGTGCTTGGAAGGTGACCGATTTTGGGGTGCTAACCTGCTGTTAAAAGGTGGAGCATGAGCAGAGGGACTGCAGTACCTCGTCCCTCCTTGTCTCTCTGTTTCATTTCTTTCCGTCTTAACACCTTCCTCCTTTCCCATTCACTCCTTTTTCTTCTTGTGTTACACTCTCCTGTAAATTTGCTTAGTTAAGATTATTTTCCCAAAATAATTAACGCAGTCCCACAGCTGGCTCTGATCCGCGTCTTTACTGCCCTGACCTCCTTACTGTGCTCCTGGTGCTCTGTGCTTGGGACTCTCGGCATTTTTGCCCGGATTCTTCTCTCAGAAACTCTGTCTGCAGATTTGTCATAACTTTAATAGCACCACATTCTTCAAATCATCTTCTATCACATCGTATACTGGGTGAGAACTGGTATAAACCTGACTTAAAACCAACTTTTTCCATCCCATTTCTCTCATATCTAGGGCTCTAGTCTTGTTTTCTGTAGCATTTAACTTTACGAGATACATAATTTAATTTTTCTTTATTCTATTTTTTGTGGTATCTGTCCCTAATGTCTCTTATCAAAGACAAGCTAGAAAACCAATTTTGTGTACATAGGAAGTTTTACTTCTTTTTTTTTTTTTACTATTATCATGAAAATACCTAAAAATTTTGCTAGATTATAAGACCCAGTTAATGTAGATTTTGTCTATATTTGTGTGAAGCAAATAAGTAAATAAAAATGGAAAACAAATCTATCTCCATTCTTAGGAGATGTTTCTGTTGACCTTAAATTATATAAGGAAAGGCTTTTTTTGTGGTATGTAGGAATCAATCGGCTAAAGAATTTTTTATTTTAAAAGGGCAAAAATGAAAATAACAATTTTAAAACAGGTTAGTAGGAAAGTAGCAATAATTAATATGCTGTGCATTTTTATATTTGTAAGTACTTACTCAGAGTACAAGATGCAAGTGTGAAATCTTGTCCAAACAATATTAGCACAAACTTTCTTTTTCACGAACTAAGAGAAATTAGCTGCATAACTATCATTTTCTCAGACTAGTGAGACAATATGACTTTTACATATATGGATTTGATTAATTTCACTTATGAGTGTGATCTTGAGTTAATAAAAAAATTGTATCTAAAATAGCCTTTATTCCTATTTGGAAGGCATGAAATTCACTACTTTGGATTTAGTGGTTGAGCCATGATGTATTTCTTTCACTGAATGGAAATTTTTACTGTTATTCTTGTTATCCTCCAAATTTGTGTATTAGATATTCTGAAGTGTTTAAATCTATAATTTAGACCAAAGATTGCTGAACTGTTACACATATTCAAGTTCTGCCCTCAGAGTGTCTTTGGAGAAAATTAAATAGACCGGACACATAAAATGTATAATTGTAGGGCAAAAAATGACAATCATACAAAAAGATGTTAACATTCAACCTAGTTTTTTATTTTAGTTAAGAGTGTACAGTATTAGTTTCAAAGTTTCCATACTGTATGGTTATGTAAGGTTTCCACATAAATATAAAGTGGTTAAAATGTACAGCCACAGTATTATTTTTGCAGTTTCTGTGAGTTTAAACTTATCTCAATAGGAACTTTTAAAATTCTCCTCCTTACTCTATGTGCCTTTGGCCAAAGTACCCTAATAATACTGAAGGATGTGAATTATATCATGAGCTCTTATTGATCAGGCAGAAACTGGGGTAACCAGCCACTGATAACATATGAGCTGCTCTAAGCCTTCCGACACCAGGAATAGGAATAGCCTGAAGACACAGAGGAGCTGAAGGAAAAGTCAGAAAGTCTTATCTTCTCATGCCCAGAAGGACAAAGAAAGACAGCTCTTAGAGTCTCTCAGAAACTCGAGGAGGGAAAAACTGAGTATTCTATATTATTTGCAAAATTTCTTTCTTTTCCATAATTATTCTCTTGTTGAAAGAACACTCTTCAACCAAAACCCAGGATGGATTAAATAGCAGTTCAATCAAGATGTTCAGCATATTTATCAATTTACTCTTGTTCCTCAAAGATGTTTAAATATAATAAAAGCAAATGTCAGTCTTATCCTCTTATATAGAGGGACACCATTGGACTAACATGACCTGTCATCTTAATTAACAAAAGCCATATTCCCAAAGCATAATATCTTATGATTTTTACATTATAATATTTAAATAATCTTATTAAACTATGAAAAGAAATGTTTTAAACTAAATATATTCTGGATTTCAAGTTATCATTTTTTACACTATTATTCTCAAACCAAAATCAGAAAGAGTAATAATGACTTGCAGGAGAGGAATGCTGTGTATGCGTTCTAATGTGTCACTACCATTAGACAGTTTTAGCAAAAATAAAACTCACGAAGTTGCAAAGTAATTCAGGACAAAAGCCCACCTAAGTCACTGGTGGCATCTTGTTATCTTCAGCGAATGGCTAGAGAAAGAAAAGGTAGCTCGGAAATGTACAAGACCAAGCTGATGGAATAGAGTGAATTAGACTCTGGTGGGCTTTGGCAAAAGAGCAAGCCCTTCCTCTGCAATTAGAATAGCAGCCACTCACAGATCACAGTTAATTTTTGCCGTGGAAGAAGATAAAACTTTTTTCAGATTGGGGTTTCCATAGAAAATGTCTAATTTTTAACAAAAAAATTTCCAGTATGTGTCTTCTTTTTACTGGATTGTTAATGTAATGAGGTTTCATAATCATGTTATTTTCCAAAGGAAACAAGAGACAGAGAGAAACAGACAAAAGGATAGTGTAGTTGAGTGTGTTTTTGGTGGCAGACAGCATCGTTTTTAGGAATGTAATTTGAATGTACTTCCTCAAGTATGAATGAGCGATCAGGACTTAGTAAAAGGTTTATTTTTGCTTGCTTTGGCGATGCATGTACTAAAATTTGAATGATGCAAATAATATTAGCTTGGTCCCTCTACAAATATGGCACACAAACTCATGAAGTGTTCCACACATTTAACTTGATAAAGGATTTAAATAAGATGGACTACAACATGCACTAGACAACTCAAAAAACTCTAAGAATTATAGGAATTAAGAAAACATTAGAAGAAAACATCAAATATATGAAAAATGTAATCCAAAACAGCAAAACTTTTCAAAATCTAGAGAATGACATGAATATCCCAGTAACTGGATATTGTGGATGTACAGCTATAAATATTTATGAATAGAAATGAACTTTTCAATGACACATCATGAAAAAGTTGACAAATTCAGGCCATCAAAATTCAGAAATTCAGCCCAAAAAAGAGAATAAAAGATGTTTGTGAGAAATATCAACAATTTTTAAAGGCAACTCTACCAGAAAGCAGATTTTTCAAAACAAAATTTAAAGGGTAGGAGCATTTGAAGCAAAGCTTTTCAAGACCCAAAACAAAACAACTTCTAATCCAGATAATGTATCCTCAAAATGCATGAAGAACGAAAAACTTTCTATGATGAAGGGAAGCTAAACAAATTTATATCCAATAACGAGCTTTTCAGAAAGTAATATTCAAAGGAAACCTAGGCAGAGACAGTGAGTAAATACTTTTTGTCTTACTTACATTTTCTCATTGATGAGACAAAATATCTGATGGCCAAAGTTAAAGGTGGGAATCACTGTAGCTTGGAGTTTGGAGAGTTTCAGCTCCTATCTGGCTGCTCTAACACGGGATGGCATGGCGGAGAGGCACCACAGAGGAGGCAGATTCACGGGAGGCAGAAGGAAATGAAATAGTGAAGCAGTAAGTGACAGCAAAAGCCTTTTTCTGTCCTTATATTCCATCCAGGTTACACACTTTAAGGGTATGTAGCATTTACACCCACGTCTTCCCATCATGCACAGCAAAACTATGGCAAACCAATCAGCGGACTAATTTAGTAAACACAAATCCTTGAACACAGCATCACACTTAATGTCAGTATCACATACTCCAGAGCCAGGCACCCCTGAAAAGCCCCAGCTATGACCACATGAGGCTTTGGGGGAACATCTAGACACTAGTCACAGCACTTGCAAAGGTAATTTTTAATGTGTATGGTCTTATCACTCAAAAGAAATAGCCTGACACAGTGGATCAAAAAATCCAGTCATGTTTTTCCTGCAAGAAACATCCTCACTGACAAAGAATTTCACATCTGAAAGTAAGAGGTGGAAAATGGTACTCCACGCAACTGGAGCTTGAGATCTGACAGAGCTGTTCTGTTTTCAGAAGAGACTATGAAACTCACAACCAAATTTATGGAACAAAAACCACTGGATTTAAAACAGTCATAGGCCCTAGTACAGTGACAGTGGAGGACTTTCCTATGTCACTCTCACAAATAAATAAGTCAATTAGACAAAAACTAAGAAAGGATTATCAGATGAAACACATATCAAACAAATGGCCTTAACAGATACTTCAAGGCTGTTTCAACCAATAATATGATACACATTTTTCTCAGTAATGTATGGAAATTTCTCCAAAATAAATCTTACTATAGAACATAAATTATGCTTACATCAGCATAGAGAAATTGAAATAATTTATTTCATCCTACTGAATCACAGCCCAATGAAACTAGAAAGCAACAGCAAAACCAACTACAGAAACTGTCCAAATACTTGAAATTTTGCACATACACTGCAAACGCTATATAAATCAATCAGAAGACAAGTCAAGGATGAAATTAAGACTTTTGTAGAAGTGAGTGCTAATAAAACCAGAGACAGGGAAAGTTATTCAAATAGGAAACAGGCCCTGAATAGGCAAAGTAAACTAAACAGAGGGGCCTGAGTCAGTTAGCATACTAAAATGCACCGTTAAGGCCTGGTGAAATGCAAGAGACTGAGATATTCTTAACAAAAAGCAGGAGACCTTAGAGGAAGTGAAATATAAACAAAATAGTTTCCTTTCCAGTCATAAAGGGTCTACCTGCAACCAGGAACATTTCAGCTGTCATGTACACTGGTTCTAAAACTGTAGAAAAATCCAATGGACCTACACATAACATCTATGGTGTCCACCTTACAGAACACCTCTCCTGGACCAGCAGGGAGCTTTTCTTTTATACTTTTCAAAACACGTATTTGGCTACTCTCCCACCACTTTCTTCTGTTTTTTGTTTTGTTAGCTTCGATATTCACTGCCCCAAAACAAGGATCTGAAATCTAGATCCAGTTAAAATAACAAAAGTAACAACCATTGAAACCTATTGGACATAAAGAAAGCAACGCTATCTGGAGTGTTTGGAGCTGTCAGCACTTCCACTATAAAAATGGAGCTATCTCAAATACACATCACACACTCCTAGGAAAACAAGAGTGATTCAAATCCACAATTTGTAGAAAGAAAGAAACTGTAAATATCAGAGTGGGAAATAATGACATTGAAACCAGAAAACAATACAAAGTGTCAATGAATTACACAGTTGATATTTGAAATGATGAATAAGATAGCCAAATCCTTAGCCAAGTTTGTTAAATGAAGAGAAGAAAAGATTCACCAGGCTTATAAATTTCTAGGATTGAACTAAAAGATATAAAATTTTTGAGTAAAACAATGACAGTGAGAGAAACCAAGGCATCCACAAAAACCTCATCAGTCAGAATATCAGGAAAAATTATCACCAATAGTCCTCAAAATCTTCCATGAAACCAAAAGGAAAAGAAAACTGCCAAATTCATTCTTTGAAGCTAACATTATCCTAGTTCTGGAATTAGATGTGTACTCAAGAAAGGGCTAGTTATCTTGATGCATATAGGTGGGAAAACTATCAACAAAATACCCGGAGGCCAAATGCAACAAATTATCAAAAAATCATACATCATAACCATTTTGACCTCATCATAGACATGCAAGTACTGTTGAACAAGTGTAAATCCATAAATGCAATTTACCACTTACACAGAAGGATGCAGAAAATGGATGTGGGAAAGTTCTTGGGCAAAATTAAAATATAATTTATGATAAGAATCCTGATGAACATAGGTATAGAAGGATCATACTTGAAATTGATAAAATTTGTTTGTGACAAAGCTATTGCCAACATTATACTGAACTAGGAAAAAATGGACGCTTTCCCTCTAAAAGTAAGACCAGTACAAAGTTGTTAGCTTTGATTACTGTTGCTTAACAGCATCTAAATCTAACCATAAGAATCAGGTGGGCAAAAGTAAAAAGGCTAAGGACAGGCAAGGAAGTCAAACTTTTCGGAGATGGTAAGATCATTTATGTAGAAGGTCTAAAAGCTCTACCAGTAGACTGTTCAAACTGCCTAATGGCAAAATAAAAAACAACATGCACAAAACTAAAAAATGTTCCTGTAACCCCAAAATGAATCCTCAGAGTGGAGCAGCAGTGCAGAATCTCAGACCAGTCTGGCGGAACTCTCTTCCCGGCCTGGTGGCAAGCCCACGATTCCCTGTGGGGTCCAGTGAGTAGGGCTGCCTCAGGGAACCCCACCCAGGCTGGCAGAACTCTCTTGCACACTTGGAACAACACTTGAAGCTTGAAAATACAGGAAAATGACAAAACAAAAGACCAAAATGCAATATCAAACATCCAGCCCATCCCAAGAATGCCTAGGAGTCATGTGCATAGAAGAAAACACATGTCACATACCTGAAATACCTGAAATAATAGTAACTGAAATAAAGAAGCAACTCTGGGAAGCCTTAAAGGAATTCAAACTAGAAATAATCTCTCAGGTAAAAGAAAAAATGATAAAAGAAATGAAGGAGATGCTGAACATAGCTAAAGAAGACACAGTTAAAAAATTGGAGGAACTAAACAAAAGGATAGAATCTCTGGATAAACAATATAAGAAATAAACAGAATACATAAAACAGATGCAAAGAGATATACAGGAAATCAAAAACTCCATTGAAAGTTGTAAAATCTGCCTCAATGAATGTGAAGATAGAATCTCAGATCTTGAAGACAAGATTGCAGCCGGTGAACAGGAAAGGAAAGATCTGTTAAAAATAACAAGAAATCAGGAAATAACAATTCAACACCTGTAAGATGATGCAAAGAGGAACAACATAAGGTTGATCGGATAAATGAAAAAGAAAGGGACAACATAAAGGATGTCAAGAGGACATTTAGAGAAGTAATAGCTGAAAATTTCCCAAGCACGAGATTGGAAACTGATATCAAGAACAATGAAGCATATAAAACTCCAAATAGCCATAACCAAAATAAATCTGCACCCAGACATATAATAATGACCATCCCAGAAATTGAACAAAAGAATAGAATATTAAAAGCTGTCAGAGAGAAAAGACAGATCTCCTATAAAGGAAAACCTATCAGAATCACAGCAGACTTCTCAGCACAAAAAATAAAGTCAAGAAGAGCATGGAATGAAGTATTTCAGATCCTAAAGGAAAATGACTTCCAACCTAGACTGATGTACCCTGAAAAATTATCCTCACAATTGATGGAGAAATAAGATACTTCCATGACAAAGATCAGCTGAAAAACTTCATGATAACCAAGCCAACCCTGCAAAGAATACTGAAAGACAGCCTAGATACATTTAGGAAAAAACCACTAGACAAAGCAGACAATTAAACAGAACAGAAAGATAAAGACGCAACAGCAGAAAGGTAACATGTCAACACGAAACCAATATATAACAGTTGTAACCGTTAATGTAAATGGTCTCAATACACCAATTAAAAGAAACAGACTAACAAAATGGATCAAGAAACAAAATCCAACCATATGCTGTCTACAAGAAACCCATCTAACCCAGAAGGATACTCACAGACTGAAAGTCAAAGGACGGAAAACAATACTTCATGCAACAGAAACCCCCCAAAAAGCAGGGTAGATATTCTGTTTGCAGACAAAGTGAACTTCAAACCAATAATGATCAGAAGGGATAAAGAAGGTCACTACATACTGGTTAGGGGAAAACTCCAAGAGGAAGAGCTAACTGCCTTAAATATATATGCACCAAACTCCAGAGCACCCAGTTATAT